AAGCTTTCCAAAAGTTTCCAAAAGTCAGTGCGCACTTTCTTTATAAAGTCCCTTATTCAAAAGTATTGAAAAACAAAAAAAACATTCAAGCAAAGGGGGTAGTCCAGCAAGCAGCTTTCTGACATTATTTAGGGCGGGGCCCTAGAATAATGTCTAGAGATTTGAGGCTTTAAATCGTTATTCCTTTTCTTTGCCTATTGATTTGCTTTACTTACCATTGAAATTGCAGGTCTTTGGATTCAGATTTCCATTGAAATTTAAAAAGTTAGTTCTATTTCCATTGATTCATTCCCTTTTTTTGTAATTAATATTCCAGATGTCTTCAAAGTTAGGTTTCTTGATTCCTTTTATTTTAATATTGCCAGAGTAGCTCCAGAGGTAGCTAGCTAAGGATTCCTTATTTAATTATCAATTGATTGATTTGCTTATACATTATATTGGAGGCCTTGGTTGTTGAGGGGGGGGGAGTTTATAAATCAAGAGTCAACATTACCTCACAGCTTCATTCGCTCCTCCTACCCTAGACCATCCATCGGACTGGCACATAGGATCCATGGGGGATCAGACCTGGGGTGGGGTGGGCCAGACCTGGCGGGTTTCATATTGCCATTCTGGATGGTCTACGGGAACGCTCCTCCTTGGCCCGTCCAAATTCACCGTCCTGGTACTCGGATCGAAGGAAAGCCAAAGCGGCAGCGGTGAGCCGGACTTCAACCTCGCCGTGAGGAGCCTCGGAACCGCTCGCGGTCGACCGACGCAGGAACTCGACCGGGAACTCGCGGCTGCGCAGGGTAAGCAGGCGTCCGCGCGGGCGGGCTCGGGGAGGGTGCTGGAGGCTTTGGCCTCGGACGGGGGGTGTTCTGGAGGCCGGCCTGGGAGCTTGAACAAAGGTGCTGGAGATTGCTGGAGTCTGGAGGAAATGACATGCTCCATGACACGGTATGTCTCCTAGCGAAACCTCCGCGAAACGTCCGACGGGTCTCCAGCACCCGGGGAGACCCACGGGTCTCGAGTGGACCTGCGGAGACCGGCGGTTGTGTCCCTTCCATCCGACCTGTGACCAACTCCTACCTCAACCAGCACGTCCTTTGGATGTTCATCCGCACAAAGAAGCTTCAAGCTTAGCTGTGCGCAGAATCATCCGGTGGTTCCCTTCTCCACCTTGCTTCGCCCTAAAGATGGCTTCATACCATGAAAGAAAATGCATTGGCTTCCAGCTGATCCGAGAATGAGATAGCTGGTATTTTCGGCAGCTCCCTGCCAGCTGGCAGCTGGTCGGCCGAGGATTTCCCTGTCTTATACCCAGGTGCAAGGGGGCACCAGAGGGATCGACGATGCTGGTGGCGGGCACGGCCTGCTGGAAGTTCTGACCTGCGAAGAGGACGAGCTGCGCTTCGCTGCGAGGAAATCCCCAGAGACTGCCAGACACTCCATGCACCTGGACCATGCCCTGTCTGGAAGCCTATAGGTAGTGTGGGGTAGTCCATTGGACACCCCGACAGGATGGTCCTGGCATGTCATATTTACATTGACTCAGCTGAGGCCATCTATCTCAGTGATGTCCGACCTTTGGAAGAATAGAGGGGTCGATTTGGTACCAAATACCTATTGGGGGTATCCCCTCTGTCAATCGACCAACCAATAGTGAAAGGCAATCTATGACGTTGACCCCTTTTCAACCACCCCAATGTATCAGGGTAAATATGCCACAAGAACCAGCACCCTCCAACAGGTCAGTACCTGCCATTGAGAGCTCCAAAAAACATCGTTTCGGAGACCTGTAGAGAAATTGGTGCATGCCCGGACCATCCAAGGGGTGCCCAATGGAAGCCTATAGGTAGTGTGGGGTAGTCCATTGGACACCGCTTGGATGGTCCTGGTGGTAGATATTTACAGTGTCTGAGTGTCTGGGCCCAAACAACCTTTGGACTTGAAGGTTGGATCGGTGACCTTAATTGGTCTGTCTCCTTATTGGAGGTGGCCCATCTTATCTGGCCATCTCCACCTCTGAGATCTCCCCATCTCCTCTTGGCAATGGAGAAAAATTAATGAAAATGATTGACTACTCACCTGGCAGTGGAAATATGTTTGAATAGGATCTCGTCTACGAGACTGATGATCTCTGAGATCCAAAGGTTCCACATGCTGGTTAGACTCTCGTGAGCAAGAAGTCAATTTCAGGTCTGCTTCTTCCAATCAGCCAAGACCTTCCAGCTTTGATGCCCTTCGCCCCCAGATCGAGGGTCCCCTCTAAAACCCCTAGCAGTCCGTGAAAGCGTGTGATATCCATGGCAAGAACTAGCAGCCCCTGCCCCGTGTACCCGTGGGCGCGCCTACTTTGGTCCAGATATCCGGCACACTCTGCACCAAGAAGGGCCGCGCATTCGCCTCCTCAAAAGGTGCGCCCGCTGGTGTGCTCGGTGAGTGCAAAGGATCTGGCGCTGGATCGCTCGGAGAGAAGTCTTGGTGGGGAAAAACGTCTCAAAATGATCCAAAATTCGTCTGGGACTCCACAGGGTGCAGGTCTCAAACAACCAGAATCGGGATATCTGGGTTGAATACCAATATTCAAAACCCATCACGTTGCAGAGAAAGTGAACAATTCTTTCTTGAAATTCCTTGAATCCACCCGATAGAATGGTTGGATGCGAGTTTTGGAGTCTTGAGCTACTGACCAGATTGAAGCCGAGCCATACAACCCTCTTAAACCCTCAAGCAAAAAAGATCTGACTCGAACATCACCGACATCACAAGCTTCCACGACGCATTCTCTCGTCATCGAGCGCGGCGAGCCAGTCGTCCGCGCTTCCACCGGGACCTTTTGGCGCGCCTACGGCAAAGAGCTCCAAGTGTGCGGAAGGCAGCTCTTCATCGCCCTTGGCACCTGACGTCGCGTCGCGTCGTTCGCGATGCAGACCCACACAAGTTGCCACGGGGTCCGTGGCAAATGGGTCCGGACCGAAGCATCGTGGACAGAGGCGGTGTCCGAGTTCGAGACGTCATGCACCAACCTCCCCCAGGCCGAGACGTTCACAACGGAACAAGTGCATCGCTACTAGTAACAAGGGCCTTACTAGTAGTAACAAGAAGCTAGTGGAAACAAGAATTAATAGCTTCTTGTTACTACTAGTAAGGCACTTGTTACTATAGTAGCGATGCACTTGTTCCTGCACCAACCTCCCCCGGGCCACCGAGACGTTAACCCCCGTCGCTTGGCCTGGCGCGTCGCCCCCAAACGTCGCTGGATGCTCGGTCTCAGGTCATGGCTGTGTGCACCCAGGAGCCCCGGTCACGAGGGTAGGTGGACCCCCCAGGCAGTCTATCCCGTTTGGCCTCCAGGAAGGTACCGAACCTAGGGAGGTGGGACTGGGGGCCCGGGTGCCAGGGCTCAGTCATGCCGAACCTGAGTTTCGGTACGACTGGAGCCCGGGTCGGGTATCTATCCCTACAAGTCCAAGCCAAGTGAAACCTGCTCCGTCAGGTCCGTCAGCGTCTCAGGTCCGTCAGGTCTCAGGTCCACGGGTCCCGGTCGTCCGCCATGCCAAGCTGCGCAAAGAGATCCGCCAACTGCCAGGGGCGCCGACACGGCCCAAAAGGCTCCCATGCCTCGGTTCTGCGCCGAAGACGTCGCGATTGGACCTGCGCCGCCGGCCACACAACCGGGACCGTTGTCCAGGAACGGCGGTTAGAAGTGAGGGTCCAACGTTGGAATAGGCTGGATGTGCTTGAGGAACCTATGACTTGGGGCTGGAAACACCTCTCAGGACCCACTTGGAGTTGGGTGAGTTAATGGACACCCCGAATCACCTCTTTTCGGGGTCATCAATAGAAGCCCCTGGCCCGGGTGTCCTGGTCTATTCCCTGTAAAATGAGATTCTTTGGGACTTAGGGAGCCTCACCCAAAGGAACGGAAATTGCCCCTGGCCCAGCAGAAAGAGCAGAAAGGAGTTTGAGCCAAACGCGCGATGAGTGTCGCTGCAAGTGGTCGAAAGGTGTGTCTGGTGTGGGACGTTCGTTTCTCTCACAGGTTTGTTCGGGACAAAAGGTGTAATGTCTCCTGTCCTTTCAATGAGGAATCAGGTGGTGGAGTGCAAAGCGAAGAAAACAAAACTTCAATTTGCAAAAGACGCTGGAAGGAAGAGACTGTCTTCGTTCTCTGCAAGCTTTGAGGTCCATTGCTGAGGGGGAGATCGACACCTCCTTCGAAACTGAGGCTATGGGCCCCCAACAGTTCATGCGGGAAAACTGTCAGTAGACCCACATCACCAGCCACTGATGACCTACTCTGGACCAACAAATTCAAATGTTCCACTGCGAGAAGTATGATATCACAAAAAGCTGATGGCACTGGAAGAGAGTGTGGCACACGTCCACAGGTCCACATGTAAAAGATTCTCTAAGTACCAGGATCATCCAATGGGTGTCCAATAGACTACCCTACCCTATTTACAGGTCTCCATTGGGCACCCGTTGGAAGTGCTAGGTAGTCACATGCCAGCCACTTCCAGGTCTTTTTGTTCGAGGGTTAGGCCCGACAAGCGGTCTCACTTCGTGATCTGCTGCTGCAACATCGACGCATGAAAAACCTGGATCTTCCAACAATGCAAAATGGTCTGCCAAACCTGGCTGCTGTTATATGTGGATAAAACAATAAACAATGGAAAGCTCACTCCAACCGCTCGCAATCCAGCCCACACACGGCAAATCCAGCCCACACACGGCAAGCTCTCTCGAACCGTCTTCCCAGGCATTTGCCGATCAACATCTGGGGCTTGGCCGATCAACATCGTTGAGAACTTGAGCCCACCCATAAGAATCTGGGCCCTCAACCAAATAGGGTTTGGGAACTGGGCCGGGACCCCGAACGCGTCACTCGGTGGAGAAGGTCCGACCCCTGCCATGGAAAGCCCCGATTCTTCGGTGCAAAGGTCCAAAGCCGCCACCCTTCACTTCCCCCTCCTTCGCCACCCAAACTACCCGGGGTCCAAGGAGTTCCCCAAGCAGCCGGAACTTGAGGGACCGAAGAAGGGGACACTTGGAGCCCGGGAAGGTCGAAGCAGGTTTGGGGTTGACCAATTCCAAGTATGAACCCATGGCTGGGAAGGGCACAGTCCACCCCAGGTCAGGGAGGCCGCTACTCCTGGTTTGGGGCGGAGAGAGAGGTGTTGAATGGTGTTGACAATGTGTTGACGATATAGTTACGAAAAACACCCAAGTTCGACCTTCAAACCAATCCCTTGAGTCTATCCGAGTCTATCCAGGGTCAGGGGATGATGATGGTCAGGTTGCAGATCTGTCTCTAAAATAGCGTGGTAGTTGATCTTGTTGATCGACGTTTGTAGGTCGGACAGACTCGAACAATTCCAAAAGTGACCCCAGTGATGTCGATAGTGCCAAGCTCTCACTGCTCTGCAGTCCACGCAGACTGCTCGTTGCCAGAGCCGATAAACATGTCACTAGAGGAGCCGATTTTCACGTGAGTCACCACCCAAAAGATGGTCTAATGGTCTAACTTCCAATCAAAAAAAAAGGTCATGTCTGCCAGCACCGAACCCAACAGGTCTCCTTTGGAGGGTTTTCAATTGGTGACCTGGTTTCAGTCGGTGCTGGTGGGTGAGAAAGGATTAGATGGGTCCTTTGCATTGCGTAGCGTTCCTCGTCTCCGCGGCCTCGCACTCGGGACTTCGGAATCGGAATCAGGCTGAGGAGCTTTTCATTGAACTGGAGCCAGTTGTGGGGTGGCTCTCCATCCACCAGCAAGGTCACCTCTTGCCCCAGAAAGGTCCCAACGGGCCTGGGAGCTGCGGAGTTCGCGCGAGCGGAGTTCGCGCGAGCGGAAAGCGGCGGAAAGCGCGAGAGCTCAGCAGCTGAAAGAGACGGTGCGCACCAGTGAAGCACAGGTTGGTGGGTAGTACGAAGCTGGAGCTTCCAACATGTGTGTTTCCTGTGTTTCCAGCTTCGGTGCCCAGGTTCACCACTTCTTTCAGGGCCCGCACACCAACTTGCGGACTTGCCCTTCCACTTTGTGGGGTACTCTAGGGTAGGTATCTACAAAGAACATCCGATGTACACAACATGCACGCGTTCCTTGTGACTTCAGAGGACCGGTATCATACACAGTCGGGGTCACGTACGAATTCGTGCGAAGGCGTCGGCACGAAAGGCATCTAATAGCGCTCCACGAGAGCGAAGTTAAATCTTGTTTGGGACGAATACATTGTTTGACCCTCTGGTACAAATTGTGTAGCAAAAGGCAAATCTACTATGTTGGCAATGGGAGCAATCAGAGAGCAATCTAATTTGGGAAGGAAAGGCACACGCACGTTCAACGCATATGCTTGACCCGGGAGGGAGGCATATTTATCCAAGAGGGCATACGCCAGCTCATTTTGCGGAACGTGGGACGGGCTGCTATTCCACCAATGAGACTTCTGTGAAAGCCTAAACGGATCAATGAACTTGCACCCGTCTTTTTATATCTCGGATAGAGTTTGGTTTGGCAGGTGTTTTCCAAATAACGAACAATATCCCGAAAAGCGGAGGTTTGGTGTCCCAGACCACGAAATTCAGGTGTTTGAATCATAACCTGGTTCGAAATCATATGGGACGATATGGGACGGCGTAACTATCAGAATCATGAAGCCACACAGGGAGGCATCGACCAGCTTTGCGATGGTCAACTGCAAGTTCACTCCACGTGATGGCCCCAAAACAGCCCCAAAACAGCCGATCGCCCAACCCCTAGAGATCCAAGTACATCGGGGTACCTTCTCAGAAGGTGATGGGAGACTATGTAGGCTTGGAGGGCCCAGTCGTACCTTCTGAGAAGGTATGTTGATCCATAGGGAACAAAAGTCCTGGAATCCCAAATCTGACCTTTCACTGGATGGTCTTTCCATGCCTGCTTCTTCCCTCAACTCAACCAATCCCCCCCAAGCTCGGCTTCAATCCCTCTGTGCCGAGCATGGGAGCGAGGCTGTCGACCTCTTGGTTTTTCGAAGCTGCAATAAATTGAGTTCACCCGGACGGTGTTCATCTCTTACAGTATCAGTCCCTACACCTCCTGGCCCACCTCCTGAGGTACGATGGTTGGGGTGGGTGCCAGGGGGGTCTAACCACCGAACCTCAGGAGATGGTTGGAGCCACAGGGAGTATACTACTTGGTGAAAGCTCTTTTTTCGCGAAAGTGAAGCTCTTCGTCGAAAGCAGCAACTCTTCCTGGTGTGTTTGCGCTACATGGCCAATCCGCAGGTGTAGCCCAGCCCGGGCCTAGCCCTGCTGCCCAAGTAACACCTCGAATTCTTTCCCCACCACCACCTGGCGGCGGCTTCGGCCGAGGAAAACGAGACGATACGGTGTTGAGGAGACCCCCACGGTCTCATGCGACCCCGCCACAACGACTTGACACCCCGACGGGTTTTTTTCCAAGCGCCGAGGAGGGGCAAGCGCCATGCGGAAGGACATAGGATAAACAATGGACATCCATGGGACAAGGAGACCCCTGGAACAGGAATGTGTGCCGAAGCAGGGCGCCATCATAGCTGTAGTTTGTTTGGGTCAAGGCCTGGGCAGCGCTGCTTCAACCCTAGAAGAGGTGCCTGAAGGGGAGAAGAGATGTCCGAGTCCTCCAGTTTCTTTCTTCTGCTTTAGCCTTGGCCTCGATCGCTTCTTGGCCTCGATCGTCTCCATAGTTTCCCACGCCTTCGGCGCTTTCTTTCGGGTCTCCCTCCGGATGCCTTGGAGGAAACTCCGCTTGACTTTCTGGTCGTCAAACTCTTCAGGCTTGTCATCGGGATTTCGTTTTCCAGCACTCGCACTGCCAGCTGGTGCGGGCACTGGGCTGTCCTCTGGTATAGCTGACATGTGCATCTCACAGCCCTTGCTGTAAACTCGGAGCGTGGGCATCGCAGCACTGTCACAACCACCACTCTGTCAGCGAGGCAGCCTGGGAGAAATCGAAAAAGCAGCCGCTGATTCGGAGTTCTCTCCACTAACCCGAAGCGGTCACCGCAGAGGGCAACAGCAAGAAACCCGCTGGCGTGCCCTAAACAAAGCCCAAGCAAACCTTCGAGCAGCGAAGCCCTAAACCAAACCCGAAGAAACCCGAAAGAAGTTCACCCTAAACCAACCACAAACAAACCTTAATTATAAAGAAACCTAAACCAAGCCCAAAGAAACCCTAAAGAAGTCAACCCCAAACCAAGAACAAACAAACCCCAAACAAACCAAGCCCTAAGCGAAGCCCAAACAAAACCGCCTAAAGAAGCCAAGCCCTAAACAAAACCAAAGCAATCCTGAAACCAACCCTTTCAACCAAAGAAGTCAAAACCTGTGCCAACCCTAAACAAGCCAAAACAAAGCCTAAAGAAGCCAAGCCCTGAACCAAGCCCAATCAAACTCGCGCAAAGAAACCAAGCCCTAAACCAAGCCCAATCAAGCCCTAAAGAAGCTAAGCCCCAAGCCAAGCCAAAGGGAATCCTCAAGAAGTTAAGCCCTGAAAACAAGCCAAAACAAACGCTAAGGAGTCAAGCCCTAAGCAAAGCCCAAACAAATCCTAAATAAGCGAAGCCCTAAACCAAACCTGGCGAAACCCTAAAGAAGTCTACTAAATCAAGCACAAACAACCCCCAAAGAAGCCAATCCCCAAACCCAAAGCCTAAAGAAGCCAAGCCTTAAACGAAGCCCAAACAAACCCTAAAAGAGCGTAAGCCTCAACCAAGCCCAAACAGGCCCCAAAGAAGTCAACCCTAAGCCAAGCACAAACAAGCCCTAAACAAGGCCCTAGCAAACCCTAAAGAAGTGAAGCCCTAAGCCGGATTTTGCCAGCCTGTGCAGTCGAAACGCACTTCGCAGATCTCGAGAGGCATGCGTGAATAGCAGCGAATTAGCCGGACACGCCGATGGAACACCTCGATCAAACACCGAGTCTTAACGCTTACCGTAAGAGCTGCTATAGTGTCACCGACTGTCCAGCCAATCGCCATCCCCTGCAAACGCTAAATCCTGTTGCTAAGCCCTGTTGCTACCTGGTCGCTACTTCGCGAAAACGGGTCGCTGGTACCGGTCGCTGACTCGTGGTTGCTGATTTGGAAAAGCTGGTCGCTGTTTCGCGAAATCTGGTCGCTGATTCGTGGTCGCTGATTCGGACCGCTGGTCGCTGATTCGGAGTTTTCTCTGGCCTTTTTACCCCATGTGTCATTTCTGCGAGTCATTGGGTCATTGGTCTTTCCAGGTACATTGACCCTTGTGACATCGACCACCCATCCATGAAGCGGCTCGCTTCTTCAGTGTTCGTGGACCTTTTAGGAACCCCTTTGATACGACCTTTGATACAGGCGCAAGGTACCCACCTTGATTGTTGAAACTGGCCCAGACCATCCATGTATTACGGCATATTGAGCTACACTCGGGGTGGTTGACCTGGGTTCGACTGGCAGATGTACCGGTACCGATCGGAGGAAGGATAGGGGTCCGGGGTTTGCAGGACATCCACTCAGATGGGACGAAGCATTCACCTCCGGGTCGAAGGGGTCTCGGACGGATCCGCGCAGAAGCTGCTTGGTGGTGGAAAACGATGCTTGGGTGCAGAAACCGAGGATCTTGGGCACCACGGTTTTGGTGGGCCAGGGAGTCCTGAAATTGGGTCACCTACCAGGAGTCACAAAGGGGTTGTGTTTAGTCCCATCCAGTGAGTGGATAATGGGCACCCCTATCCTCCAAGTTCGGCACCCCTTTGTGACTGCTGGTACCTGGTTCTTCTTTTTGATGGTTTGAGGTCACTTGGGCCTTCAAAAAGATCATTGCTTCAAGAAGCTAGCTACAAACCTGTTTTCCGAAGACTTTGGATTCACTCGTAGGGGGGAGCAAATGTGCTGCTTTTGAACATGTGCATATTACTTGGAATCATACCCAGACGCGACCCTGGAGCCTCATATGGAAGGGTCGGACCCGAATCCTCTTGAAGGGGGTTTGGGGTCTGTCAAATCCCTAGGTTTTGAGGGACCAGTCGGGCTGTGTGGGTAGGAATTCTTTTGGCTGTTCTTTCTTTCTTTCCCACGTGCACCGTCCTTTTTCAACCCCGAGGTTCTCGCTCTAAAGTTGGAGCGTCGGTCGTGTGGCACTCTTGGGACCTCTCCATGGCAGGGGTCGGACCCGACCTCTTAGCAGGGGTCCGGGCCCGAACCAAACCCTATGTGTTGCTTCGGGTCCGGATTCTTAGGGTACAAGCTCTTTCTTTCTCGTGTGTGTGTTCCTCCCGAAAATGGCCTCCAGGAGGTTACCTTCACTCCTTTCGTTTCGGACGCCCCGAATGGGTGGTTAGACCTCGGGTCCAGTCCGCTCTTCGCTTCGGTCTAACCTCGAGGCCAAACGGACGGCCCGGGTCCTCCGGTTCCCCTCCGCCGCCCGCGCCGTGACGGCCGGCAGCTCGAGGCTGGAGACGCCCGTTGAGACGGCCGCCGCCAAGGAGACGCCGCAGCCCAAGCCCATGGCCTGTCGTGGTCCCGGACGGAGACACCGGGAGTCGTCGTGACGAGTCAACTCGTGAGGGACGCCAAAACGGGTCACCACGACGCATGGGGACTGGCATGATTTGACCGATCAGGGGTGGGTGGGCCAGACCTGGGGGTGAAATAGGTAAATCTGCCAGTCCCATGGGTCGTGTCTGTCGCTTCTGACCCGACAGGCCTCCAGTGTCACTGACTGAAGGTGTTGGCAGAACCCTCAGCCCTCACCCCCAAAAAAAGGGAAACTACCAGCACCCTCCAACAGGTGTCTACAAACAGCCTCTTAGAGGTTAAGAGGTGTCCCAAAACCACCTGTTGGAGGGTGCTGGAAGAGGTGTCTCTGTCTTAGCTTCATTTAAGAGGTGAAGGCTTTTTGGTGTCGAAAGCTGCTGGAAGCAGCTGGTCCTGGTGCTGGTGCTGGTGCTTGGTGGTCCGAACACGATCTTTTTGGATCGAAGGTGCCCCCCAAAATGGATGGCACAGAGTGGATGTGTTGGGGGGAGGTTTGGAGAGTTTTGAGGACTCTTGGTATAGCAAGTACCAGCATCCTGGCCTGGTCAATGATTCTCGGGTCGCTCCACATCATCTTATAGATCTAAAGCTGAATTTTTGCTGGATTCCCGCAGCAACCCAAGAAATCATCACCCAACAGAGCACCGAACTTGGAGGAAACACAGGAAACCCTCAAAACCCTAAGGATTTGAGGGTCCGGACCCCACTTAGGAGGGTCCAGGGTCGCGTCTGGGCAGGACCTTCCAACAGGTGGTTATTGAACACTCCGAATCACCTCTAAGAGGCTATGTATAGACACCTCGACTGGAAGGTCCTGGTAGAGGACGGATCGTGCAGCGCCAGACCCGGCGCCTGGGTCTGCTCTTTCAAGAAGAACACCCACTAACCCCCTGCTGGTTGCGGGGCAACAAGGTGATCAAGGGTTTTTAGACGACTCCTGGCTGGAAATTCAGAAAGAGCCCATCACATGACCCTGGGGGTCAAAGACCACTCGAGTCAAGGAAGGCTCCGGAGGTCACCAGATGTTGGAAGTTCTGGTCGAACTGGGTGTGAGACCACCTCCCAGTCTGCCATCGACTGGTTCCCACTCCGTTTCACCACTTCCTCGCCTCACAGCAATGCCGTCGCAGGGTTTCACTCCAACCGGAACTCTGCTCGACACACTCGGCCAGCACCACCTGCTCCGGCACGGAGCTGACCCTCCGTCCAGCCCGTCCCCCCCGACCTCGCTCGCATCGTTTGCTTCGGAACAAGTCGGTGGATAGCTGGAGCTGGTCCGTTCGTCTCAAATCCGTAGATCAGACAGAACTGAAGACAGGGGTTAGAACCTGTTAGAACTGTAGATTGAATCCCATTCCCTACCTGTCCATTCATCTCCCGTGGTCAGACCCCCAAACCCACCCACCCCAACCACTGAAACGGAGGTAGGCGACTGGAGCCCTACGCGAGGCCAATCCCAATGCCTGGCAGCCACCTTATTTCTACTCGACCTTTCTGGCAGAAACACCTCCAGAGCCTCCTACTCAGAGTCCTGGTTTGTGTTCAAACAAAAAAGACAAATTACAATTCCCCACAAACACCACCTTTTCGACCTCAAGGAGTCCTTGTTTTTTTCCCATACACTCAATGTTTATAGACTCAATGCCTACATTGACTCCGCAAACCACCACCCCAATGTATATGCAGTCCCATGGCAGTCCCATTGGTCGCGTTTGGGTTAAGACACACGTCTGGCGCTGCTCGGGTCATCCGGTCTGGAGTCCAACTGGAAGGTGTTCGGTCACGCTCAGCGGTTGCTCGGGCATTCAGGCGATGCGAGTCGAGGGGGGGTTCAAACAAGAGTCCAGTCGACGGTCTGACGGGGACGAGTTGACCCGGTGGTGGACAGGAATTTCATGGAATTTCCTGAAACCTTCACCTTGGGAGTCAAAGACTATCAAAAGAATAGTCTTTAGGTGACCCGAGTTCAGGAATATGCTTTACTTCAGTCGTCCGTCAAAATACATATAGTCTTTGGACTTCTAGGGTTCAGGTCAGTCAAAAATATCGGGACTTTAGGGTAACACATCGAACTTGGAAAAGGCTTCCCAAACGCTCCAGTCGACCCTATGGAGGCATTCGGTCCAAGATGAGGAACCAAACGCTGGTCTCGGAGCCGTGAAGTACCGATCTCCGGATTGTTAAAGGTTGAGCTCCTCTGTATCCTGAAGCATGCTGAGTTGCGAACTCCGATCTTCGGCAATTCGTCGACTTCACCGGAGTGGTACACGGTTCTGGTCCACCCTGGGTTCCGGTCCATCCCCCACGGCGAGATGGGTGTCAGATCTGGACCTTCACCGGGTCAAAGGCCAGCACCCACACGAGATCGGGACCTCACCCGACTTTCGGTGTCCGAGGTCCCCGTGTTTCACTTTCGGTCGGTCGTGGCCCCCGCGTCGCAAGCTCGCGTGGAACGGAACACGGTCGCCTCATCGCTCTTGTAGCCCTGGCCCTGGTCCTTCAGAAACTCCTTTTCCTCCTTATCACCTAAACGGTGCTCCGATGCAAAGAATCTCTGGGCCCTACAAAAAAGGGCCGCACGGAGTATGGAGTGATGGGGTGTTTGGTTTGGGAGCAGGAGTGGCTGAAACATGCCAAAACAAAAAAAGATGACGTGTGAAGAGGATTGAAGAGGGAAACATCCCAAGAACAAGCTGGTTGACATATATTCATAAAGCTTTTACACAAAAGAACTTGAGACACAAATGCAAAAACCATGGCAAACCCAATGGTTGATGGGCTCGGAACCTCTTCTCATCTCTTTTTCAAAGCCAAGATCTCCTTTTCTGTTAAACCAGGGGTGTTCCTTTCTAGACCTTCAATCTTCCGTTCGACCAGTCCCTCGCCATGTCCGACACCATGGACCTCAACGAGATCCCGCCAGGGCTCACGTTCGACGGGGTGCTTTGGCTCGTCAGGCTGTGGATGTGACGACGGGGCACTCCTATCCTCCACCGTTCCTTCGGCACACCGCGACCTGTGAGCTCCTGGAGAATGATCTTGAACACCCCCCATTTTCGAAAAACTCGAGGTGTTGTCCAAAATCCGGAACGGAACGTTGGCACCTCGCGGGCCGCGGCGCGGGGTTTTTTTTCGGAATCCGGTGTTTTTCTCGTTTCGGAGTCGCCGGAGCGGCACCGTTCGGACCGGTGTTGTACACGGTGAGCCGTGGCGCGCAGGGATCCATCGGGCATAGAGCCGCTGGCGCGCAGTGAGCCGTGTGAGCCGCTGGAGCTGTGTGAAGCGCCACCGGTGCTGCTTCTCCAGGAGCTTCTGGAGGAGCTGTCCCAACTGCTGGTACTCCAATCCTAGACTCAAGATGGCAGGGGGAGGTGGTCTATGTTTGATTTCACCTGGACTTCATCAATCCCAGACACTCCATGGGACTGCCATATTTGCATACATTGACCCCTCTGGCACCACCCCTGGCCTGATCGGCAGTCCTATGGCAGTCCCATTAGTCGTGTCTGGGAATTATTGATGCAGGATCGCTTCCGGAGCCCCTTGAGCTTCACCTGTTCAAGGCGAGATGTCACCCCAGACTCGCTGTCCGTGGGTTGCAGGGGTTCTGAACGAAGAAAGGCGCCAACACATCGCTAGTTAATGTCCAGACACGAATCACGTATGACGTTTATGCCATACACTCCATGGGACTGCCATATATGCCTAGAAAGACCCGGCTGAATGTCGGCAGCACCACATGTGGCGCAGCGACGTCCCCGACCCTCCAAGTCTGGTCCAGTCTGGTCGGGGACCCGAGTAGACTACAGAGTCGGTACTCAGGGTACTCAGTACTCAGGGCCGGTAGAGCAAAGTATATACCTGGGCCCGACTTCACAGGTTGAAATGGAGGCTTTGGTAGACTTAAAAGTCGCAGGTGGTGACCTGTGAAGTCGGGTCCTGGTAAGTTGAAGCCTGCATCCAAGTTCGCTACAGTTCAGCAAAATGTGAGCCATTCGCAAAACGGGTCGTGCTTCGTCTGGGGTAGGGCAACTGCATTGTGCAGTACTGATTGCGCTATTTCAAGCTTGTTGGATTGAAGCAAAATCACGGGGGCATGTGGTGAACAAAATGCGTTCAGGACTTCCCCTTCAATTTACCTTGTGCTGGAAGGTGTTCCCGTTTCTCCGGCCAGGGTGACCCTGCGTGCCCGAGCGTTTGCCCGCCAGAAAGCCCCCCCGTTTTTGGTCGCGCTCCTGCCATGTGGTCGCGCGCACCGTCCACGCGAAGATCGCAAGCCACAGCGCTGCCATGGGGCATCACAGATCAGCCCAAAAAGGCTCACAGGCTTCGCTTCCAAATCCTGGTAGACCTTGTATACCGCGCACCTCAAAGTTGGTTAGACCAGGGAACGAGCCTGCTGTTGTAGACGTAAAATCTCTTACGTAGGTCCAGGCGAGCCATTAAAAATAATGGTGGTTGGAAGCCTACTAACCTTTTGCCGGTGTGTATTTTTGTGTGTGGTTTACTGGTGCTTCCTATCGAGATCTTGCTGTCTTTGATCGGAACCCCTTGTCTATCGGTTGGATGACCCGCGATGTTCTGCTCGATGAACGAAGCGACCGGTGATGTTCTCTTTCGGGTTCAAAGAAACCCTGGGTTCGAACGACCTCAGGACTGACTTGTTCAAATCCATGGTTCATCCTGTCGACTCAGGCGTTGCAGTCTGACTTAGAGCCTCTGCTTGGATCACCTACCCTTGCTGCTCTGCTTGCCTCTGTCACCCACGTCGCTCCCCGGGGGCGACGAGCCAAACTGCGACGCGGCAGTTACGACGACAGGGGTCGATGGTGCGAAGCCACCCCCGACCGGGCCCGACAGGCACCCCCCCCCTCCCGGAACGCGGCCGAAACGGCTCTCGGTTCAGAACTCAGTTCAGCTTGCTTCAACCCGGACCGTTTGGACGTACCCGACGTGGTTTTGGGGAGCTCCATGGTCAGAAAGCAGAGGGGTACAGTAGATCTATCAGATTCCTCCAAGAACGTCCCAGCCTGATTTTTGGGTGGCGTATCTGGCAAGGCTCGTGGCAAGGCTGATCTGAAAAAAGAAGTGACTTCTTGTCAATTGAGTCGCAGAACTTTGCAAGTTGCGAAGTTGCGAAGTTGCGTATATATTATATATATATTACACAGTATATATTAGATCAGATTGCATTATCGTTCTAAACACTCCGCTGCTTCATGGAAATGGTTACCTGACTCTGTCTCCAAAAGCCTTTCCGGACCAAACTTCTTGGTGTCCCCAATATGCCCTATCGGTTTTGGGAGCCCTATCGGTTTCCAGTGTTTGTGAATGCAGGCAATGAACTACTTTCAATCAAGAAAGGGTATCGGTATAGGGCTGGCCCCTATCGGCTTTGCCAGGTCTTGATCAATTCTGAACTACTTCAGGTGGCTCATGACTAAAGTACATGCAGAAGTTTTGTCGGATGCTCATATGATATAATATAATATATATATATACACACTCTTCGAAATGGTGTTGCCTTTTTGTGGGGGCAAAGCATTCCTTCCAGGGATGCCTTTGTGTGGATTCAGCTAAAAACCTGCCAAACCTTTAGGATTCACGGAGGTGCTTCGTCCATTTCCAACACCACAGGACCAACCCGAAGAACGTTCCAGCATTCAGTGCCGAACAAGTCGGTTTGCGCCACGCTGCTCGTGCACCTGCCCGCGGCGAGGGGCAGCCGAGCCCAAGTGGGATAGCCCAAATCACTGTTCGATGGCGTTCTTGGAGAATGTGCTGGGGTCGTGCACCGGGGAGCGGCTTCAGGGGCTGAAGCCGCCGGTCTTCGCGATGTGGACTGCTCAGTTCAGAACACGCCGGAGGAGCTTGAAGATGTTGACCCGCACCGAGATGCTCAGTTACAGTATTCTTGATTGGATAAAGAGATGGTCAGGGCTCAACACTCCATGGGACGGCACAAGAAAAACACTCCTTGAAACAATTCATGGAAGTGGAACATGGCCCCATCGGAATACCATGTTCATCTACAAACACAATTTCAGTGGGTGTTTTCTACTTCCATGCACAAACAGACGCAAGGTCAACCACCCCAACTGCTCGTGGCTATGCCAGTCCGCAGCTTGTGGGATGTCAGAGCAAGATGTTGAATGTAGGAGTCGCACTGAGCGAATCGAATCAATGGCGCCACAATCTGTTTTGGCCCCAAAAGCGTAAACTTCCTTTGCCTTTCGGCTGTCTGACGGCTGCCCATGGGGCGGCACCCCCCCCACCCCCCTTGTGCAACTGGTCCACACCTGACATCATTTCATCCTTCTCTTGACTAGGGTCATGGGGGGTACGCAACAAAAAGCGCAGGCCGTGAAGTGCCACTGCTAGCGGAGTTCCGCTAGGCATGTGGGTCCAATCAGCGCAGGCCGTGGAAGCGCCACAGCTGGACCCCTCTTGGCATCGAACCATCATTCGACTCACTTGCTTACCAGTGATTGTTCTTCTTCGACACCAAAAGGGTTTAGGCTTAGCGGACGTCTGGAGCGCATGGAAACGCCCATGGTGAGCACGTCAAAAAGCATCTCTGGGAGAAAACGGGCCACCCACATTCATCCTGAAACACATATAATTACATACATAATCATATATATAATATACAGTATACACATCAGTACAAAATGTACAATATGCGCCTGGCTTAGTACGAATGTTCATTGTAAACATGTCCATAATGACTTGTCATTGAGGTCCCATGTGGAAAATCGTTGGAACCTGTTCAATGACGCAACATGCAGGTTCCACTAGGGCGGAAAATGCATATGTCTTCCACTCTTGTTCACCTGGTATGCGTGCAGCTTCACTCACTTCTTCGTTCAGGCACAGTCCATGCCGGGGAGCTATTGGGCTCCTCACTGTCCGCGCTGGTTCACTGGCTGGGCAGGTGCTGGCTGTGGCAAAGGGAATTGATGAAGGAATGCATTCATATTGGCCCTCTGCTCCAAAGTGTTCACGTAGACCTGCGCTTCTCACGAAACGGCCTTCTAATGGAAGTGCGTCAAGTGGACATATATATATATAACAATGTTGTTTTTTTTAATATATTATATATATACAAACACCCAAGTTCACGGGCCTTTGATTCGGTGGGGAGGGGGTCACAGCAAAAAAGAATGAACCGAACCGGGACGTTGCGAAGGACACGTCCTTCGCTCGGGTCGTTCTGCGTTGGTGCCTGAATCGGTCGGCGTGTGGGCGCATCGTTCTCTTCTTCGAGGCTTGGACAACTCAGAGACCTCTGGATGTGCGGCGCGCGCGCAACACCCAGGAAGTTCCCAGGCAAGACGCAGAGATGGTCAGCCATGGGTGTCTGTCTACACCGTCGAGCCACGTGCAAACAGCAACTAGAGGCCGGAGGCAGTTCATCTGCCGCGGATCCGTTAGATCACCAAGAAGAGCGACCGGAACAAGGGTTTTGAGATGTTTTGAGGGGCCCCAAACCCTTGTTATAGAGGGTTCGACCCCTTCTAAGAAGGTTCCAAGGATCCTTAGGGTAGAACATGGGACATGACCCTTCCCTACCAGGACCTTCCAAGTCCGGTCTTAGAAGCCTATCAGTCAGGTGGTGAACCGACCGGTCACCACACGAACGGAAACACAGGTGGGAAACCCCTGTGAATTTCGAGTCCGGGTAGAGACGTACTTCAAATATGTGTCAAATGACTGGACCTGTACCTGCTCCACCACATGAAGCGTCTTCACATGCAACAGATGACCACTTAACCCTATAAATGCGGCTTCGCCATCCGTTGATGTCATCATCGGGTTCCTCCTGCTCACCACCGAGCGGCGTCGGCGTCTTCGGAACGGTCGGGCTACGGGGACCGTGCTCCTTCGCCATCGCGTCTTCGACTCGACTGAAGAACCATTGGGGCCCCCCTTCATTAGATCCCTACATTGGGGTGGTTTTGGGGGGTCCGGTCAATGTAGGCATATACCCAGACACGACCTGTCTGGGACTGCCATGTCGGACTGCCGCCCCACAACGACCCCCCCCAAAACCACCACCACCCCGATCGGCCGTTTCCGTGCCACTCGGCAGTACGTCCTGGCAGTCCCGTGAGTCGTGTCTGGGGATTGTTTGGTTCCTCATCTAGCTGCTCTCCAGTGCACCGGCACGGTCCGGGTCGGTCCGAGGTCCGGCCTCCAGCTCCTCTGCTTTGCTAGATGTGTGAGATGTTGTCAGGCATGGTCTTTGGTGTTGTCAGACGTGTTCCGACCATTTCCAACTCTAGATGAGATCTGACCCGTGCCCAATCCCTGCATGAATGTCTGATTAGACCAGACAGCAGAAGCTTCTTCAGCTCCATTCTGGCTCCGTCAAGCTGTTGATGCTGTTGCAGCAGGAATGTCCGGAGATTGTACAAATCCATGCGGATTGAATCTGCAAGGCAAGAAGAACAAAAAAGAAAAAACAGACTGTACTTGTACTTGTATACATGACCATGTGTCTTTTCCATTGGCAAGTCAGACTTGCAAGACACAGAACGTGTGGACCATTGTGATGAAAAACCGGAGACCGCCCGGGTGACTTGGTCTAAGCCCTATTGGTCGTTCTCATGTCAACGCTCGCACTGTCGTCGTTCTTCCGCACCCGGAGACCGGGGTGCCGACCCATCGTGCCATGATCAACTCAAGCCAGGCGTGCCGTGAACCCGTGCCATTTTGGTCCAAAAAGAAGGGTCTGACCAGAGTGGTGGTGTTTCCAGAACGTCCCCCTCCTTGAAGGAGGGGGCCAACATATCGTCTTTCAACGGGCAATGATATGGCCTGAAACAAGGGTAGGCTCCGAACATCACGAGACACCGGAGCATGCTCGGACCAGCCGAATGGATGGGTTCAGCCGTCGACCCGAACCCGCCCTATCGTCCGAAGGAGCAGACATCCTTCCTTTCGCAGCGCGAAATCCATGCACCATCGGGCAAACCACCCAGGCATGAAGCTGGGACCCACAGCAAGTTTGGTGGTGAAGCTTTGAGCGAGTTTTTGACACATATAGGAGTTCCTCCGATCGAACGGAGGGTCCAGAGGTATTATACTATATAATATATATATATAATATATTATTATATATATTATAGAATATATATTATATATATTATTATATATATATATATATATTTTGAAAATGCTCCCGGGAAGATTAACATGGAACCTGAAAATGGACCTTTGGAAGACTATCTTCCTCTACAACCCAGTTGTTTTCAGGTGCTATGTTAATCTTCTAGGGTGTATATACGGT